TATGCAATGTATGCAAAACAGAATGACTAGAATAATGTGTAGGATTTATCACTGTGGTGACAATCATTTCTGGGACTTGACAGGTCATTCAATTATGTCTTCTACACGACTTACTTTGTCGACATTTTTCTACAGAAAATTCACACTTTTTTTTATCAAAAAGCAAGTTGTTTTTATCGGCATTATTGTCTGTAAACAACATTTGCTCAGTATTTTGGTCAGTGATAGTAAATCAAAGCTTTCCCTCTATATATATTCAACTGCCAAAAAAGTTAGCTCCCTTCCGGACCGTAGTTATGTCCCAAGGAAAACAAATTACTCTTTAAAAAAAAACAAGTAAAACTATTATGAAAAACAAATGTAAATAAAATACCTCAATATTAAACCTTTGAAGGGGGTCGGCGTGGTCGAGTCGGTAAAGCTCACGGTTGCTAAACCGGAAAGTCTCGAGTTCGAACCCCCGGGCAGATGAGGCTCGTTAGCTGGGGACAGCCACTCTTCTAGGAGAGACAACTCCAAAATTAAACAACTGCTGCCTTGTAGTTTGTTCTTGGTTGGACAAAGGCTATGGAAGCAAATCCAAAAAGAAAAGCAGGCTGAAATCGGAGTCAATGGCCTCAATGGCGCATAACCAGTTGACACGTAACGCTTAATTGTGTTGGAGGCGTGGTCGAGTCGACAAAAAGCTCATGGTTGATAAATTTGAACAAAGTCTCGAGTTCAAACTCACTGGCAGATAATTCTCGTTCCCCTTCAACACTAATAATTAAGAACGAAGAAGAAGAAGAAGAAACCTTTGAAAAACCACCAGTTATTTATCTCTGTTACATTAAGTATTTATTATATACACATGTAAACTGTATCCTTGCGAATGATGTAAAAGCGGAAAGTTTCCATAAATATGACAACAAAACTATCTCATATATACTAAAAACAGCCTTATTTAGATAAATTCTATCATGGAATAATTTTTTTAAAGCTAATTCAACAGTTCTATGTTATTCCAATTTCGTTTGGCAATAATATGAACATTTTGGACACCGGTGTCCCTTGGTCCTCAAAGGGTTAATCACGCTATTGAAAAGAAAGAGCACGTTTTTTTTAGCTACCATTTTACTATAAACACTTCGCTTTACAAGCGCCACTTCTATTACATAAATTCAGAATAGTTAAAAAAAGGTTAGTATGAGTCCAAATGATCAGCACGTACATATGAAGTTAAATGTATCGAACAAGTTAAGTAAAAACAATAGAAAATACTGTGGGGAGCTTTTGAAACAAATACTTTAATATGAATATTGTTTTATTCATTTACCAGCTTTGAGGTGTGAGCAATACAGTTATCTTATCCATAATAATATATTATTCTTATGATAATAAATAATATTTTAAGAACACAAAGAACAATAATTAATACAAAAAAGTCAAGAACAATACATTAGTTGAAACAAATAATACAGCTGTAAAAATATGCTGTAATCTAACATTTAAAATGTTCCGTCCATTACTATTACATTTAGTTTTTCTTTGATCAAATGAAATCGTAATTTTAAAAATTATTTTTATAACGTATTCCTTTTCTTTTAGTAATCTTTCATTGGAGATGGTGTTAGGCCAATAGATGCCTTTTATCCTTCGTAGGCATTTGGAAAAAGAGTCCATCAATCCGAGGGTGATAAATTTTACTCTTCAGCATTCGCTGCCATAAAATCTTGCGCTTAGGGATTTACTTTGCAAATTCTTCTTTTTGTCAGTAATGGTCGTGTTTTACTTTTTGACAAAGACAATACCTTCTTTAGACAAACTAAATAACGAGTATATATCATTGTCATCTAAAATCCATTAATTTTTATTCTAGTTATTACATACATTGACACTTATTCTATTGAATCTGTATCTATTGTTTCTCGCCCCGTCCCCAACCTCGACTCTGTTCCTTGCAGTATTGTCCTAGAAAAGCTACTCAAAAAGTCCCGTGTCCATAAAATATGAGTGTTTTAGCCCAGACAAATAATATTCAAATCTTCACAAGGGTCAATAGCGTTAATAAGCATTTTATAGACTTCATGTTTGATATTATCTGTGTACGGAATTCAGAGGCGTCTGTCCAAACATCGGATATTTTATTAAAACGACCTCGAATCCTCTCTATAGGTCTGCTTTATCTATTTTCCCACGTTTTCTTTAACTTGCTTTCGCGTCTGTTTGGTTTTCCAATCAAATCTTGCGATCGAAATTTTGGGCACTTCCAAGTTAGCTAGCGCGCTGAAATTTTCAGGGAAGCTTTGTTTCCGATGACAATACAATATTCAGTTGTTATTATTACTAAATTGATCCATGGAAAAATTTTATTGATCATTTTAGACCCCTATATATTTGTACAAAAAAGGGACATAACCTAGTAATTGTAATTTTATGAAAACAAGGTTCGGTACTCTCCCTCTTATGGCTTAGTGAGTAGTGGTCACGAGGTGTTTGTGTACAAACCTATACAAATCTGACTGATCAGGAAGTAGAATGTTGATGGTCGAATGGTTTGCACGCGAGGGCAAAATGGTGAAAGAAACAGTAACACAGAAAAAACGTCCATTGGAAAAGGCAAGTGTTTTTTAAGAGTTGTCTTCGTTTACCCAAAAAAAAGTGAATGCGAAATGATAAAATCGATAGCAAGATTTTAATGCAAACAATCAGATAAAGACTAAAAAGTAGAAAATAATTATAATTTAAAAAGTTTTTAAAAACCCACGGTTTTTGATTGAACTAAATAGTAGAAAATAAATGCTATACATCACAATAATGCAAACGATAACTCTACTATAAGCGATGAAAAACGTGGGGCGCCGTGATTTTCTTACAGTTTCTAATACTCTTGATTCCCTACAAGCTCCCTAATAAAAGTCAATAGTATTATCTAATCAATAGTAATATAACTTTTACATCTTATATTAACAATAACCGATAAAAAACCCATTACTTCGGCGCCCCACGTTTTTCATCGCTTATAGTAGAGTGATCGCTTGCATTATTGTGATGTATAGCATTTATTTTCTACTTTTTAGTTCAATCAGAAAACGTGGGTTTTTTAAAACTTTTTTAATGATAATTATTTGCATCGATGTAGTCACCTCCCTATCCGAAAAGTTATCTAACCAAACAATATAGGCTACATCTCCTTAGGAAAATTAAAATGTTAAATGGGAAATTTTGGAGAGGAAAAACTATTGGGGCGTTACAATAGTAATTTCACAATCCCCTTTTCTAAAATATGTACCTGAAGCTCCCGTAAATGCTGGGATTTATATATCATTCCCCACTGTTGTTGTAAGAACGCGGTGATTCATTCTTTTCAAGTAAATCATGACCATTGAAATTATTCTCCTCAGATTATTTCTAGTATTAGTCTGCTGGTTGAATTTGCAGATCCTCTTTATTATTATAAGTAAAATTCTTACTTCTTAGATATTTAAAAGGTAAATGTATTTAAATAAAATAATAAATAAATATAGTATTTAGGTTAATTCATAATTGAATTCATACTATTGAATACACCAATATCAATTTTAAACAAAAAAAACAATTGTTGATATAATCATCTACGTGTTTCTAGCTATTGTATTTTCTACCAGAAGTTTCGATTTATTTATTCTAAATTTAAGTCTGTCTATTAGAATTATTAACTGTCTTTCTAGCGTCACATAAGTGCAATAAACGGTCCTAGGTGCTTTGACCACAGTTGCTTTGACCATAGGGGGTTTGACCATAGGGAGTTTGACCACAGAGGGGCTTTGACAACAGATGGGCACTTACCCGAGATTAAAATTTAATATTTCTATTAATTTTTATTTGCTTAATTATTTTTTTTTATCACAAAACACACACGTAGTCCAACATTTTCCAAATACAATTGTACATAAGTTGTTTTGAAAGAGTTGTTATACGTTTTATAAAAAAATTTTTTTTTTCAAAAAAGACACAGGCAGGATATTGGTTACCGGGGCTGTGTAAAAGATGTGTGGCTAGTTGTATTTTCTACCAGAAGTTTCGATTTATTTATTCTAAATTTAAGTCTGTCTATTAGTATTATTAACTGTCTTTCTGAGGCTATGTCTAACTGAGACTGTTTTTCTAGCCTTAATTATTTCTCCGATGTTATTTTTTAATATCCTCATGAGTGAAGTTTAAACATGCCAATTATTGTTTAAAGTGTTATATGTGTGCCATGATTATTAGTTGCTTTTTGTGATAATTCAGCATTGCCTTAAGTATGTTAACATAATTTCTTCCTTGAATATCTACATTCTTGGTCGGTAACACCATTATAAGTAAATATGATGAAGGTGTCATCTCCGAAATTAAAGTATTCAGGTATTTTAAGTTTATATATTGTGTTCCAATTCGTTATTTTCCAGTATCGAGTCAGGGAGAAGTAATAATATTAAATGTTAAATCAATTACCCTTACTAAACTCAATGTTTTATTACTGTTTTTAATTGTTTGTCTTTGGTTATCACTTGGATTGTTGGAGTTGTGGTATAGTTTGGCGATCAGAGAAATAAATGTGTAAGGGATTCTAAAGTGCTTCATAATTTTCCATACTAATGACCTGTCTATATGCCTGCAGTGACAAGCATTTTTTTTAATCTAGAACAAGTGTATGTAGAAATTTAAAAAAAAAATTACCGTGTAAATAGAACTCCCCATAAAATCCTCTGTATGTTACAGAGCTGTATGTTTTAAATGTGACAAAAAGGTTGTTTGTTGTCGATACAATCACTTCTGTGACTCCCCTACCACAGACTTTCTTTGAACTTCGAGCATTTTTAGTAGCTCCGTCGTACACGGTGATAGAGTCGTGGAGAAAGTATGTGTCACAAGACTCAGTTTCCACAAACAATAGACTATAAGACAAAATAAAGGTTAATTAGTACTAAGGTTTTTCTGCAATGTCACTTATATATTTGATTCCACGTTAATGTTTGGTCAGTGTGATATGAACCTACTTTAAAATGAGACGTGTATCAGGACGTGCTGATAGATTCCATGTAAATTCCTGATTATTCAAATATTGTAAGGGATATCCAGGACTTGCCAACTTGCCTACCTCATATAGTGTAGAGTGTCTGCCTGTTTATTCGATGGAATTAAATCAGTTTAATAACAAGACAAAAATAAAATCTGAATACAATGCACATTGACTATGCTTTTAATGGTTGTACATACTTGGTATGATCTAACATAAATTACATAACTTTCCCCCTAGGTGAATCAGGGGCGGAACTACAGTGCCGCCAGACCCCGCAATGCGGGGGTGGGGAGGGGGGGGGGGCACGCTATTTAGGGGCCCAGTTAAAAAAAGTAAATTTTCTTTCATTTTTGACTTGATGGTTGTTTTGTAAAAAATTACCATAGCTGCGGTTGGATTATCTTTATTCTATAGACACCACCCCACGCTCTTGTATATTCTTTTTCCTTTTGTTTTTACGCCATAGCGTTCACGGGAAAGACCAGGGCCGCCCATGCAAAATTAAATCCCCCTCCCACCACCACACCCTGACCCCCACCCACTCCCCACCCCCTTTCCCCCTCACTTATCCCAGAAACCTTCTCGAGAGTATTCATCAACTCCCTGAAGTTTTATGGCACCCGGATAAACTGTATCGAACCTCAATCGTCTTTTATTTGAATATACCGTATATAGAGAGAAAACAAATCGCGCCCTTTCGGGTCGCCACCCCTGGAAATTTGAAAAAGAATATTGCGCAGAAACCTCGCTAGAGATATTCTCAACATCTTCCCAAAGTTTTATGGCGATTGTGTAAACGGTGTCACTGCAATTCACTTTTATTATTTTCATACACCACATGTAGAGAAAAATCGCACCCTCCCGAGGCGTCGCTCTTACGAAATTAAAACAAAAAATTGCAGAATCCTTTCCTGGAATGTTCTAATCAACTCCCCAAAGTTTGATGGTGATCGGATGAACGCCGTGTAACCGCTATCGACGTATATTTTTATATTCCGTTTAGAGAGAGAAAATAAATCGCGCACTGCAGGGGCGCCACCTCTACAAATTTGAAAATGTTTTTAAAGCAGAAACCTCCCTAGGAATGTTCTCAACATCTTCCCAAAGTTTCATGCAATTCACTTTTATTATTTGTATATACCGTGTATATAGAAACATCGCACCCTCACGTAGCGCCGCCCTTGCGAAATTATAAATGATTTGTTTTACAGAAACCTTTCGAAGAGTGTTTTTATCAACTCTTCCAAAGTCTCCTGGCTATCGGATGAACGATGTCAAACCAAAATCGACATTTATTTATATACAGTATATAGAGAAAAAACAAATTGCGCCCTGCCGGGGCGCCACCCCTGCGAATTTGAATTTTTTTCCCCTCAGAAACCTGCCCAGGAATATTCTTAACAACTTCACAAAGCTTCATGGCGATGTGATGAGAGGTGTAGTAATGCATAAAAGATACACACACACACAAATATACATTGCTTTATATATATATATATATATATATATATATATATATATATATATATATATATATATATATATATATATTTCATCTACCTATTGTATACTAGAAAGTAAAAAAAAGTAAACAAAGACCACGTTATTTGGTCTATGTACAGGGGAGGTAACTTTTTAAAGTAATAATTTCTAAATAATTTTTATGCTATTTTAAACAGAAACGAAAATTCACAAATTATAGCATTCATTTAAATAAATATTACTTTATTAATCAAGTTTTTTATTGTATTAAAATGTACAACTTAACTGCAAAAGTAAATTTAATATAATATTTGCTTAAACTTGGAAGCCTTTGCAGTTCTAATAACTTTGCGAGTTAATAAGTTTTCAAATATTCCACCAACATGTGTATGGCATAAAATTACTCAGACTGTTATTACTTACAGCCTATCACCAATTAATTAATCATTTAAATTCTCAAGTGTTTTGAAAACCTAATCGAAGATAGGCAGTATGGATAGTCAATTTAGATGTTAAGAATTAAAGTTAAACATAATTGGACTAACAGTAGACTATATGGGTAGCGAGTATTTGCTGCTTGTTTTGGATGTTATTAAATATGGGTAATGCCTGCATGACGCGGCGAAAGCAGAATGACGTAGTAGACAAGAATTAAAGAAAAATGCATGTTTTTGGTTGTCTGCACGTATGTAGGTAAAATGTTATTTGGTAAATCAACAGAACATTTAAAGAACGTTCTTCTCCTTTGAGTTTTATCGACTTAGTAGAAATTTCACTCACTTCGCTAACTATACATATACATATCTGGTGATATTTGAGTCGCCTGCCGTCTAACGGGTGAGTAGGCCTATCGCTGAAATGGGTACAAGCCTACCGGTCCGAATATTATTCAGGAGTTAAATATAGTATATTGGGAAGGCGTAATTGTACAGTGCATGCTGCACTAAGACTTTAACTTATAAACCACAGAAAAAGTTATGTTAAACCAAGATTGTCTACGTACGTCTGCAATCGCGAGGTGACTTTTGCATAACTGTGCTCGCATGGTCTAAGATTGCACCTTCTGTTCTGTACTAGGTGTAATGCTCTATATTTGAGTACAACATGTGGTATACGACACGTACTTGTGTCTGCCTACACCGCATAGATTCTAAGATGAGGGTTAAGAGACAAAGTAACTTAGAGAGAAGAAAACAGATCCAGCTTTCAGTGTCAAAATTACGTTGTGATACGTCTCATACAAATGTTGAGAGAAATCAAAATAAGCTGAACAAGAGGGTAACACGATCTTTAGAGAGTTATCGTAGTACAAAGAAGAAGAGGAATAACGACTCCATGAAACTACTTAGGACAAAGGTCAGAAACCCCCTGGACAAAAACCACATGGACATAAACCCCTCGACATAAACCCCACGGACAAAAACTATTTTGTCCAGGGGGTTTTGTTTTTAATTAGTTTGTTTATTTTTAAAATAGCGTAGCACAGCTAGTGTGTACAATAAATAAGTGTTAGTTTAAAAAATATATTGTATTACTATACTTGCTTTACATTTTTTTCTATCGTTAGAGAAATCCTTATTGTTTTTACCTTGTCTGTGACATCCACACCATTTACAACCTATTACATTAATCATCAAAGTTGTCTTTATGTACAGTTTTGGCCAAGCCCATTAACTGAGGGGTAGGGGCAAAGCGACAGGTGTTACAAAAAATCAATACTTGTTGTAATTAACTAAGCGCGTTCATGCGAAAATTTACCGAGGGGATATTTATGTGCTGGGAAACATTAAATCTATAATTAGCGCACTAGCTGTTACAATTAATAGTCTATGAGCAAGGTCGTGCGAAGTTTTACTGAGAGGTTTTGTAATTGGTTGCAACCTTTAAATCTATAATTAGCTTAGCACACAAGCTAAAACGTTCGTGACAGGCAATCAGCGGGCGGTGATTGATTATCTCACGTTTGCGATGTTTTCACAGACGATCTGACACCAGGGCCGTGCACAACATTCACAATTTATCACAATAGTCAGCAAACTTGATTTTGTGTATAAAATATTGGCTGCCATTATATCAGTGGTCAATTTTTTCGTTTGTTTTTTAATTTGTTTGATTTTAATTAGTTTTTTTAATTAGTTTGTTTAATTTTTGTTTAAAAAGGAAGTACTGTTTAATTTTTGTTTCGATTGTTTTTTAATTAGTGTGTTCATTTGTTTGTTGTTTTTAATTAGTTTGTTTAATTTTAAATGATGTGGTATCATTTATCATTTTAAAATTTGAATTTTAAAACTTTGCGAGGATGTTTACGAGATAGAAAACAGTTCGTTTTATTTTAAAATGAGGTATTACTATTTATTTATTTTTTCGATTATTTCTTATTTAGTTTGTTTATTTATTTATTTATTTTTTGTTTTTTAACAAAACCTTAACTTCAACATTTTCGATCATGACATCATAAATGTTTTTTTTTTAATAATATCATATTTTGTATTTTAAAACGTTGCAAATTGTTTTTGTCTTTTAAAATTTATGTTTAAATAGGCCTATTCATCGAAATAATTATTTTTAACATATCTAGTGTTTTCATTAGTTCATAACAACAATACGCATTGAAAAACATTCGTGCGAAGCGCGCCATCTGTTCTTTGTGTGGTCAGCTATCTAATTACATCTATAATTAACTTTGACTCCATGTTTGAGTCGATCTATACACCTGTCAACAGCTGTTAGATACATTATTTGTAGTAACGTTTATTTTATTTACATAATTTTTTTGTTATGTTTCAGGTTACACCATTTGTACTGCTTATTGATTATTAGAAGAATTTTTAATACTTGTTTGTTGATTATAAGTACGTTTATTTATTTACATAAGTTAGACTATATTGTAATCACGACATTTTCATTGGTTTTTATTTTTTCACCATTTGTAAACTTTAAGGTTCTATAACTATATCATGTTGTTATACCACTTTATATATATATATATATATATATATATATATATATATATATATATATATATATATATATATATATATATATATATTTAAATACATTTTTGTTTATGTTTTTATAATTTTCAAAAAAATATGAATATAGAAGATAAACAAATAAAATTTGGTTTCTGTGACCTCGGCATATGAAGTGATAGTGTGTTCATCACTATATCCAGCCGAGTTTACTTTCCCTAACGTAAGTTAGGAACGATCAGTACTCAGAGACCTATTATTGATTTGGACCCGGATTCGAACTCTGGACTTTTTAGTTTAGCAACCATGAGCTTTAACACCCGACCACGCTGCCTCCTTCATTCATCACTAGATAAATTCCAATTGATTTGGTTAGAATATTTGTCAGTGGAACTTGCAGTTTATAATCTAAAGCAAATTTTACTAAGCTGGTCAAAACATAAGATATTAAAAAATAAAATAAATTGAGTTGTAAAAATAAAATTGTAATTAGACGTATTGCATTATGTAAAAGTAAACCTTCTTAGATTAAAGAAGTTCAAGTCAAAAAGAAGTTTTAAGAAAACTGTAATACTAATGCGAACATGGCAAGGTAGTCTTATGCAAGTCTATTTATATATTCCTCTTCCTTCTAGTTTTATTTAGTG